TTTACCAAAAACTTCCCAGACTAACAGGTAGGAAGTGATGATTATTGTCAATCAGTAAGAGTGCTTTAAATGAGAGCTTTTTTCTTTTTTTTTTTTTTCCTTTTTTTCTTTTTTCATTTCCCGGAGAGAAAACATGAGTTAATAAAACCTGTCCTTGCAGCTAGCAAAGTACAATGAGAGTCATGCCCATGCCATAATCTCTGATGAGCTTTGTTGCAATTTAGTGAAGCATTTAAGTGCTTGTCTCCAAGTTTGTTTGATTTAGTCATACTCTGGAGAAATGCCTATTGAAAAGAGCTGCTGACTGAATCAGGGCCTCGGGGAATAGCCATGTAATAAATCAGAGAGCAGGTGCTGTGCTGTACATGTATGCTTCTGGTTGCAGAACATATCAGGAAGAAATTTTTCGTCTGTGGAACATATGAGAGCCCAGGTAGACATCAGGAAAATGGGAAAGTATAAATTGTTTTGGAGAAGTGACATAAAGCAGCTCCGAAAGGCTGGTGAGCCCAGCATCAAGTGTGCAGCCTTGTAGCAGTCTCCGCCAGAGAGGTGCGTTGGGGAACTGGCATGAGAACTCAAGTATTTGCATCCCTGGAGAGGTCTTCTTGCTGAGGTCTCAGTGACCATGCCTGGTAGACACACAGAACGTGCTGTGTATACAGCTGCCCAGGCTGTGCATAGTCTCTACGGTTTGCTTCTGTTTCATAAATACCAGAAACTTTTTGACAGACTCTGTTTGATGGTCTGTGGCGGACACCATGTAGCCGTGGAAAGGGGTTTTAACCCTTTAAGTGCGGTGGAAATAAGATGCACAGCTACATGGTCGTCTTTCATGACAGGAAGAAAGAGACAAGTTTATTCAGAAACACACTTGGTTTTATAGCATGACTCGCAATTCCAAGAGTAGAGAAAATGTGATTGGTTCAGAGAGAAGACACCCCATTCCCAGGGCCTGGTCACACACCACAACAGGTGTTATATCTTTGTTATTAATTCCTTTTTATCTTGACCAAATTATCACCCTGGGAGAAATTCTCCCTAGCCTTGAGCTGGACCAGCTTATTGGCTAGGAACAGAGCTGAAAAGCTCCAGCCTGGAATATTTTTCAGGCTGTAATTTTCTTACTTTCTCAATATGTGTCCCACACACCATGTCCTTGGTCAGATGTGTGCCGTATGACTGGGTTGGTGTCTGTTACTCCCTAAAGAAGGAAGACGGTGTCTGGCTCATTAGTAAAGGTTGGGACAAACATAGCTGTCTTTTCACAAGGCAAAAGCCTGGGGCATTTGTTATCCCTGCGCCAATCTGAACTGCTGCTTTTGTGTGTTCTGCTCTTTGGCTGCAGTGATCCCTACAGACATGCTTAGCAGTGAAATCTCATAAAAACCTGTGCAGGTCAGGTGTTAATTTTCAGAGGTTTTGACCCAATCTTGTAGGCATATGGGCCAGAGAGCAACAAATGTGTTTTCTCAAGCCAGGCTTTTGCTGTTTATAAAACTCCTTCAGCTAGATGAGGAAAAAAATACTGCTTCTGAAAAACTGGGGAGGTAACTGGGGAAAGTATGCAGCCTCTTTGCTTTGTATTTGGAAGTAATTTTCTGGCTCAAAATGTGGGAGAATATATCTGGCCCAAGATGTAGGAGAGTCATAGCAGGAACGAAAGAACAGGTCGAAGAATAGGACAGGGGCTTTGGCCAAATCATGAAGAAATGTTTGGTGACTGCAGGAATCAGTATCAGCATTGGTTTGTGTACAAAAACGGAGTTGTGTCTAATTCTGCTGAACTGGCAGGAGAAATATTAACTCTTGCTTTCTTTCTGCAGAGTGTTCTTAAAATCTTCTGATAGTTTTCACCTGAAAGTTAAGCAAGCGCCTACATTGCCAGAAATGCCTATCTGTTCACCTTTGGTTTTTTGCCTTTGGTTCAGAGCTCCTTATACAACTTATGAGAAGATAGGTTCTACAGAAATAGTGAAAACTCCTGATTTGGAAATACTTCATCATATTTCTCTGAATGGCACAGTGAAGCTCAGTTAGTGGTGAGGACCTCTCTTTGCTAGCTCATTGTCAGTAGGATGAGGCATGATTATTCCTGGTGTTCATATCCATAGTATTGCTCTGAGAAACCGATTTTCTTGACTAAGAGTTGCTGCCTGTGTAGCATCAGCATGAGGTGAATTATACCACAGTGTTTGACCTGCTTGTGTATGGTTCAGTTAAGCCAGATTTCCACAGAGCTGAATATTAAGGATCTCAGATAAGACTTCCAGATTCAGAAAGGAGCCACTGGATGAAGAGTGAGATATGTTCATGGTGTTGCTCATGCAAATTCAACTGTGGCAGATGCACAAGACTGATTTCAACTCTTCAGTTTCCAAATTATTTTTGGTTTGGGTCAGCATTAAGGTTATCTAAATGTTACTGTTTCTGTTGGGCATCATGTCACAGCTATTATAGTATGTGATTTTCAGCCTTGTTCATATTTGATGTGCTACTTTTTGCTAATCATGTGCATCAACAGTTCTTCTACACGTTAACATATTTTGAGTCTGTGTAGGAGTTATGTGCCAGAGGGAGTAAATCTAGCTATGTATATAAGGTGAATTACAAATGTGGATTATATGTGTGAGAATCAGGGACATTCCATACCAAAATACTTCACTTGAGTTAAGTGACCTATTTGAAGAACTGCATTAGCTTGCAGTAATACCGGAGGTTTAACCATTGTATGCATCAGCTCCTGGAGGGCTGAAATATGACATACTTATCCAACTGATACATGCACTTTTTCTCAAAAAAAAAAAAATTTTCAATCCAGCTGTCTGATACGATACCCACCCAGTCTAAAGTCAGGTTTTAGACCCTTTTCTTTGCAGGCTTGTATCGAAACCAAAACTGTTACCTTTGGTGTCAAACCTACTGGGCACCTTTCCTATGAATTGAAAGAAGAATGGTGTTAGTGGACAGCAGTCCAAGATAGTGATCTTCAGGCACAGAAGTTGCTTGACATTCATTTTCTGTTTTGCACTTAGAAACTGAACATATTTATGTTTAGGTATGTAACTGGGAAAGCATTCAGATGTCTGTGAGGCTCAGGGACTTTGGATAGCTATTCTGGCAAATTCTCGCAGACTAGCCCATATGGTGAAATCTTAAAGTCCCCATTAAAGTCATTGACAAAAATGTCTCATTGAGTGTCAGGAATTACACTGAACCTTGAATTTCAAGGCCATAGTCTTGTGGCTTTCGCATACTGTAAGTAAAGTTCAGGTTCATGACCACCTGAGGAGCTAGAATGTACCTAAGTCTATTAGAGCCAGTGAGATGTATCCCAGAGTCCTGAGGGAATTGGCAGATGCACTTGCCAAGCCACTCTCCATAGTATTTGTAAAGTCTTGGCAGTCAGGGGAAGTCCCAGCTGACAGGTAGAGAGGAAATATTGTACCCATCTTTTAAAAGGGTGGGAAGGAGAACCCTGGCAGGCAGGAACCTCCCAGCCTCACCATGTGCCTGGGAATATCATGGTACAGATCCTCCTAGAAGCTAAGGCACATGGGGACAGGGAGGTGATTCAAGACAGCCAGCACAGCTTCACCAAGGGCAAGTCCTGCCTGACCAACCCAGTGGCCTTGAATGATGGAGTGACCATGTTAGTGGACAAAGGAAGGGCTACAACATGTCATTTTTCTGGATTTCTATAAAGCCTTTGACAGAGTTCCTCATAACATGCCTGTCTCTAAACTGCAGAGAGATGGATTTTATGCTTGGACTGTTAGATGAATAAGAAAGTGGTTGGATGGTCACATCCATAAGGGTAGTGGTCAATGGCTCAGTGGCCTGATAGACATCAGTGACAAGTGATGTCTATCAGGGGTTCATACGGGGATCAGTGTATTTAATGTCTTCATTAATGACGTGAATGAAGGCATCAGATGCACCCTCAGCAAATCTGCAGATGACACCCAGCTGAAGGATGAGAGTAACCTGGACAAAATAGAAAAGTGGGTGCATGGGAATCTTGAGAAGTTTAACAAGACCAAGTTCAAGGTGCTCCACCTGGGTCAGAGCAACCTCTGGTATCAGCACAGGCTGGGGATGAACAGATGGAGAGCAGCCCTGTGAGAAGGACTTGGGGGTGCTGGTGGGTGACAGGCTGGACATGACCCAGCCATGGGCACTCCCAGCCCAGAAAGGCAAGGGGATCCTGGGCTGCAGCCGAAGCAGTGTGGGCAGCAGGGGAGGGAGGGGATTCTGCCCCTCTGCTCAGACCCCAGCTGGCACCCTGCATCCAGCTCTGGGGTCCCAGCACAGGAAGGATATGGAACTGCTGGAGTGAGTCCAGAACAGGGACACCAAGATGATTAGAGGGATGGACCACATTTCGTGTGAAGACAGGCTGAGAGAATTGGGATTGTTCAGCCTGGAAAAGAGAAGGCTTAATGGTGACCTAACTGTGGCCTTCCTTTCCCTGAAGGCAGTCTACAAGTAGTTTTTACAAGTGCATGTAAAGAAAGGACAAGGGTTAATGGATTCAAAGAAAATAAGTTCAGACTGGTATGTTTACTGTGAGCATGGTGAGACACAGAGAAATTGTGGGTGCCCATCCCTGAAAGTGTTCAAGGCCAGTTTGGATGGGGGTCTGAACAGCCTGGCCTAGTGAAGGGTGTTTCTGCCCATGGCAGGAGTGTTGGAACTAGATGACCTTTAAAGTCCTTTCCATGGCTATTCCATGATTCTATGTTCTTTAAAAGGCACAAATCACAAATCTCAAAAACTTCCTTGAGAAAATGACTATAATCTCAAAACATACATTCAGAATTTTTTTCTTAGGTGAAATTTCTGCTGAAGATTCTCACACTGCTGTTAGCAGATTTTGGGACTTTCTTGATCAGAAACTGCTTGCTTGCTGGTATTAGCTGGGTATATTTCCTCAACATATTCATGTATGTGTAGGAGGGGTCAAACAATAATTCCATCTCATTTCTTCCCCTTTGCAGGCCCTCTACAATTCAATCAAGAATGAGAAGTTGGAATGGGCAGTGTAAGTATACTTCTGTTGTAGAAATTAGAAGTTTAACAATAGTACCTGTGTAGTAATCTGTTTATATGTCCTATGTCACTGTCTGTGTGAGCTCCAAAGCCTGTAGAAGATAGCCAGCATACATAATGAGTTTGCTTTTTTGCTAATGAATGACCTGGCAATATAGCCTCATCTGTTTCTCCAGCAAGGGGAGTTGTCAATGATAGGCGCCAACTGCATTTGTAAGGAAAGAGGATATTTCATTTAGTAGGAAACTTCAGCCTGAAAAGAGAGAAATTAAATCCTCTGTTGTTTTATGACTGCATAAATAAAACAGAAGTTGACGTCTCCCTTTATCTTTCTCTTCATTGTGTCAGAACCGCTGAATAGAAACACACTTCTTGGATTGAGTTTCCTGCTGTTGGTTGATTGTCTTGGTTTGTCTCCTGATTAACTATGGATAACTTGACAACAATCTAATGTGAAAGATGATAAATTGGACAAAGTCTGATATCACTCCCTCCAATCCTTAGTTGCTTTTGACAAGCTAACGCTTGTTAACTATGTAAATGCTGCAGACAAGAAAAAGCTTCAGTTTCTGATAGTGTTAAACTGACATTTCTCTGCACTTAGGTTTCATGTAGTCTAGTTATGCCAGGAAAGGGTAGAAATGTCTCCTTTTGATTTTACCACTTGCAGAACGGTGGATTTTGGTATAAAATAGGAAAATTATGTCTTTTACATATTTTAGCTGTACAAAGGTACCTCCCTGCATCTATTTACATATCTGAAACCTCACCTTCTTGTGAACAGTGTATGTCTGGAATGCATGCTCCTGCACCTCTTGTGCTAGAAGTTCTAGCAACTGCCATAGATCTTGCAGGCCCAGTAGCTTCTAGTCTTCATTGTTTTAAGTTCCTGATCTGCAAATAAATTTCTTGTCAGGGTGTGCAGCCTTGCAAGGGCAGCGGGTTCCAAGTGGGATTGCTGTCCCAGTTCAGAAATGTGTTAGGTGATGTCAGAGTAGTAAAGAAGGTGTGCTATTAGTGGGAATCAGCAAGTACCTTCTCTGATGAGCATTGAAAGTCGTGGTGGGAGACATTTTCACAGACTGTCTCGGACCTGGAACATGCTGTGTGAATGTCACACCAAAGCTGTTTGCCAGATACTGTCACAGTACTTTAGAACCAGCATAATCCATTATGTGACTTTCTCAATGTCAGAATTTTCCTCCAGCTCTTGCCAAGAGACCATACCGTGTCTAATACACTTGGGCAGCCTCCAAGTGGGAGCTGGCTCATGACTGGCTGTGCTCCCATGAACCTCAGTCAAGGTGATTTATGAGATCTTGCTCCTGTATAGGTGGTGACTGCTTTGGCATTTACATAGTCTTGTCCATGCCCTTTGTTTGGGGGAAAATTCCAAGCAGGCTGGAAGAGGGATAATTCAGACTCTTTCTTAAATAAGGCTTTGTGTGGGTATAAAGCTGCCTTCTTACAGGAGAATGCTCAAAGGTGGCAGTTGTCTGTTCCAGTCTGAGACTGACATGTACCTAGGACTGATGTTAAAATTAATTTCCGTGATGAGAAACAAAGCTGACTCTGGGTATAGTCAGTTCCTTTGGAGCTGAGAGTACCTGTCTGGAAGAGGGAGTTTGAAGGTCTTTCTCTTCATTTTTATAGAGATGTCTGGTTGGTGTAAAGTAATAACCCTAATAAGCCCTGGGGCTGCCTGAGCTTGAGGGAGGAGGCACATAGCTCTTGCTCTACTGTTGTGATCTGCAGAGAAAGCTAAATGGTAAGGAGACATGGTCAGTTTTGTTCTGATAGGACCAAAGAAAATTGTATCTCTCTTCTAAAGATTATTCCTTTGTCTCCTTGATGCACTTGGCAGGGTAAGAAGTGGGAGGTAAGGCAAAGGTAACGATAGGACTGCAAACCCCAGTGTAAGCTCTCTTCCAAGGCTGGCATTTCGAAGGAATGCTTTTCCTCTGGCCAGAAATCCTTTGAGGATCTAAGACGCTCATTGTCACACTCATGAGCTAAGCAGAGATTTAAGAGCTGCTCTGTAAGTACATTATTTAGTGGATTAATGGCTATCAGCAAGTCTGTAGGCAGGAAAGGGTAATGGTGAAACATAAGATGGGGAAAGACTGCTATCCAACCCTTATCTTACTAATTGTGAGCTAGGTGTGTTATCATCTTAAAGTTTGCAGTACATTTCCAGTAGAATTATAGTCTGATCCAAAGCCCACACAAAGAAAAGGCTACCATTGACTACAATTTTGTAATCAAGAGAAGTGACATCCTAACCAGCAGATGTTCACCAGAGGCTTTCAGTACGAGTGTTCATTTATCCTTTCTGAACAGAAAAAATGAGTACAGCTCAGAAGAGAGAATTGCATTACAGCTCTTCTTCGGCAGTAGTGCTTCGTTCAAGTTCTCCACAAAGTTAAAAGTGAATCACATACCGTAATCTGTAAAATAAAGAGATCTGACCTGGAATTTACACTGAACTGGTGAATGTGGGATTCTGAAAGCACTCTTCTGTTCCATACTGAAAGCCCCAAAGGTGTGAACTGTTCTTTATGTCTGTTGTGGATGGGCTTAAATTTGAAACATGGGAAATTTGAAATCAACCTTTAAAAAAATTTTCTATTAATTTAAACCAAGACACAGGTTTGCCTGGATAAACTACAGAAGTGCTTGCATTGGAGGTTTTTGTGAACTGATTGTTCTGTCTCAAATGGATAAGGAAGAGGAGATTCAGCCATAGAGGCAAAGAGATAGATTGCCTGGCCTCCTAACATCCCTTCATTGTCTGTAATACTATATCCCAAGGTTTTTAGGTGTTTCTTATTCTTTGGCTTTCACTCTGATCATTGTCAGCTTTAGGCTGGAAAAGAAAAATCCATTTGATTACAAAGATTTCAGAGCTAAATATGTTTTATTTGCATGATGTCTACATGGAAATGTCATGGTGGCCATTATTGTTTTCCTTTGTTAGTAATACTGTGTCTGTTTACTGTTGAAGATAATAGGAATAAAAAAATTATCATAAAATAGGTGATCTAGAATTAACATATGAACTCCCAAAGCATTGTTTACAAAATTGCTAAAGCCAAATGGCTGCATTTGAGCCAGTTGTGTCCCAAAAGCCACCTTTGAGCAGAACAGTGTAGTTTTCAGGAGAATCACTTGTTTTTTCACTAGCCAGTGATACACTTCTCTATCCAGAGAAGTTTACAGGGATATGGTATATTCTTTTTTTTTTTTTATTTTTCTGGACTATACTGAAAAATTATCTTCTTTCAGCCAAAACAAAACAGGTCATTCAGATGGTGATGGTGGGAAAGAGATGCTGCCAAATCAAACTGTGATGCTGAGATGAGGGTAGTTATAAAGGCATCTGTGCTGAAGCTCACCTTTTTCTAGGTTAAACTGAGAAATTTCTCTCTATTATAATTAACTTTTGTCTCCCAAGTTCTAGGCTGTTTCCTGTTTGCAACTTCTTCACTGGTTTTTGGGTGGGGTCAGGTGGTATTCAATCTAGCTCTCTTTTCTTCCCTCCTCCCACTGGAAAAGGTGTCAAAACTTCTCTCAAGTCAATTTCCTAATACAGATGCTGTTGGTTCCATGGATGCATGCTACAAACCTGCATTTTTTTTTTTCAATTAAAATATTTAAATAAATGATCTCAACCTTCTCCTGTGTCATATAAGTTTGCTGTTTGAACAAATGCAGAGATGAAGCAGAATTTTAAAAATGAAAGGCTTGACCACATAATTTCAGAGTAGTGAATTCAGAATTTTCTGAGGCAGAGCCTCAAATCAGACCATAAAGTGTACAGGAATAATTTTGTTACTGAGAGAATCGGATGGTGCTTTTCTCCCAGAAGATAGAAATGGGACTTCCTTGTATAGGGCCTTCATGGGAGAGGTAGAAAATGCTTTTCTTCACCAAAATGGCATCATCTGTCTTTTTACGTTTTTCACATCTATGTGTTTAAGAATAAGGGGGAGACTCTTTCTAGTTATGAATTGATATGTATTTGGGAAGACAAACATTGCTATTTCAATGCTGGGACTGCAAGTGATAGCACAAAGCAGATCCTGGCTTTGGTGTGCTTGTTCTCATGGGTAGCCAGAGGGCTCTACTGCTCTCCCTGCAGGTCCTTTTCCAAAGGGACAATAGGCCTACGGAGGTAGAACTGATGCTCCTTGTTTTGGGAAGCTTTGCGAACATCATGTGCCATAAACAGAGTCTTAGAGAAACTTTACAGATGGTAACCTTTTCCTGTCACCAGTACTCTGCAGAGCAGAGACACTATGGGTCCCATTTCCTATGAATGGAGAGTGGGACTTAAGAGAAGTTTTGCAGCTATCAACCCTTTTTCAGCCATGAAGGAGGGGTCCCCAGATGAATTGCTTCCAGACCTGCCCTGGGTCAGAATGATCTTCTGCTGATCAGGAGCAGAAAGTCTCATAAGACTTCTGCAAGCCTAATTGAACCCCCATGGTAATGTTTTGTATACTAAAAGGTGTTTGGAACCATTGCAGGGTTTTTTCCCCTAAAGGCACAAGGATTGTGCTATTTCCGGTGTGAAATGGAAAAGAGAGGCAGTGGTCCTGCCCTTCAAAAGGACCTGAGCTCTGCCTGTGTGACACCACCACGACTCTCAACATACCTGCACAGAGATTGCCACCCACTGACTCTTACCACATCACTGGAGGCCTTCACACTGGGAATGTTACAGCACATGGATGATCTGTGAGACTGTCTGAGGATGGGCAGGTAGTCGCATTCCCCACAGTTTAGGGTTTCAAACAAAGGTCAGTTTTCAGGTTTATGTATCCAGAGGCCCCTTGGATTTTCTACAGTTCTTTCTTGCAAAAATACCCAAAAGACTTGTTGGAAGTAAGCTCAAATTGTTAAATCCCTGATAAACAGTATTTAGGACCTATTTTTTTTTTTTCAGTCAGCTTTGGAAGGTACCTGAGAAAAAAGCTAATACCTGAACTTTTTTTGCTACTTTGACATTCCTCCAAATCATCTTGCTTTCTTCTTATGTTTGACCACTGAAGTAACATGGAATGTTTGAGTAAATGAGTCCCAGATCCCCTGGTTTTCTTCCACTTCTTGTTTGCAGTGAGTCCTTCTTGCCTCTCTGTCTCCCTTCCTTGCCTCTTGCAGACTGATTCATGCGTCTTGCCCTCGTGCATATTGTCAGAGCACTCAGCTCTCAGAAATGCCTGAAGCTTCTGAGTCTCAGAGATGTCCCATTTTCATGATGAACAAAAGACCAGTTAAAGGTTTGCTCAGTGCTGTCAGCAGTCATGACAGCAGATGCTATTTTGTTCTTTCCACCATGTCTTTTGAGGAATTCCTGTTTTAAGAGCTACCCTAGAAGTGCTGAGTTTAAGAGTACTGCCCCCAGCTCTTTGTGGTGTCCAGGATCCCCCCACAGGATTGCTCATCACACCACTGTGGCTGCTTGGTTAAGGGCACTGGTATATTCCCACAGGACAATTGATCAGTCTACAGTAATTCACTCCCATAACGCCAAAGGAGATAGCTTATTCCAAAAAAGTGTTAAGCCTTTTACTGCAGTTGGTCTCTGCTGACAAGGAGAAATCTGCTGTGTCCTTGGCTGAAATCCCAGAATTCACAAGGCACTTCTGTATGACAAGTCAGCCTGTGTGCTTATGCCCTCTGAGAGATTTTAGTCTGGATTAGGTGCGTCACACTCATGTTGAGAGAATTTGCTTCTGGAATGGACATAAATCTAAGAAACACACAGTGGTTCAGACTTAACAGCAGCTAGTAAGTGTGGCAGACCCATGAAGGGTGAGGACAAAGAAAATTGTCAGAAATGCTTACACTTTTTCAATTGGGAGAGGGCTTCAAATAAAGCGTACTTAAAGAAGTCCTTATTGCTTTGCATAATAAAAAATTTTTGTAAAACTTTCAGTGCTGGAGTGGGAAAGCACACATCAGTAGGCTAAGGATGCAAGGACTGCTCTTCCTTGCAAGAATCAGGTCTTCAAGTAAAAGTTTCATTCCTCTTAATTAGGAGACCTTGCAAGACAGCATCATGAAGATAGGGTGCACGTCCTTAACTATATTTCTATAATTTATGTGATCAGATTCAAATGATTGGGAACATCCCCTGCTACTGCAGAGTTCACTAATACAGCCCCCATGTTTCTGGATTTGTTTCCTTGTTGTGAAACTGGTCTCTTATCCTTTTACCTCCTTTGACTAAATTAATCTCCCAAAGACCATTTCATAGAATTATAGAATCATTTTCTTTGGAATCATCTAGTTTGGAAAAGATATCCAAGATCATCAAGTGGAATCTTTCCCTTCTGACACAATGTTACAACATCACCTTTTCAACTAGACCATGGCTCCAAGTGCCACATCCGTTTGTTTCTTGAACATCTGTGGGGTGGTGACTCCACCATCCCCGTGGGAAGTTTGTTCCAATGCTTAACCACCCTTCAGTGACGAAATTTCTCCTGATATCCAGCCCAAACCTCTCCTGGCACAGCTTGAGGCTATGTCCTGTCATCCTGATTGCCTGGGAAAAAAAGGCCAGTTCCCACCTCCTTTCCTATAGTTATAGAGAGTGATAATGAGCCTCCTTTGCAGCAGAGCTGAGGATAAGATAGATTTGTTGCTGTAGCCTGCAGTTCTTGGAGGACATTTTTTTGAATGATCATTCCCATAAGCAGCCATGGTAGCAGTGTATCCCTAAAGGAGCTTCTGGATTGATATTTGCCTTGCTAATCCTCACATAATACATGCCTTTGAATGTATACATGTATTTGGAAGACCTGCCTGAGCTTGCTCTCTCTGCCTGTCCTCCGGGTCCAGTAAGATGCAGCAACTTGAAGTCCACCCCAAGTGCGTTGGCAATGTTATCCATCATTATGCTCAAGTGATAATTTTTTTAAAAAATCAGATGCTGGTCTCAGGAGGTGTTGCTACTACGACTTTCAAATGACAGCCTTCATACTCCCTGACACACCTTTCTTAGTCACCTGGAGGGGAATGTATGCAGACTTTAAAGGATGAAGGGCTACTCTGTAATCTGGCCTGTTTTCTGAAAACTGTTGTCCTAGTTATGTAATGGACACCCTTTATTTTCTAGGTTGCCTAGTCCTTTTTAACCTTTGCCTTTGACAAGCAAAAAGGTATTTATTAGTCAGGCAATGCTTGTGACTTGCATTGTTGCCCTCAAGAGCTATGTGGACTACATTACCCTAATAAGTAACATTTTGAGCAGCATTTTGTTTCCAAAGTAAAGATAACATAATTCACTTAGTGTAGTTTTTATTTTGAAATTATTAATTTTATGCTAGTCTGCAGAGGAAAATAAAGAAAGAGAGGTAGAGTCTGTGTTTCATATGCTAAGTTAAGGGGTAAGCCACAGTGATCTGTAATATTCTAATTCTTTTCACATACATGTGAACTCATGAAGAAATTGGGGATTTTTCAGCTGAACCTAGCAGGCAAATATTTCCTTTCTTAGCACTCAAATAAATGGAATTAAAAAATTGCAAAGTTGGAGGACACAGGAAACTCTTGAAGTCTTATCTTTTGAGACAATAATGGAAACTTGGGCTTTATTGAAAATCTGTGTCCTGTGCGGTGAAGTAGGTAAACTGAAGTTTTGCTATGATAGATCTATATTTTGATATATTTCTAGGTTTCTCCCTAAATATGGCCCCCTATAAAGAGAGAGGTATGCTTTGACAAAGAGTGTACAAAAATTGCTGAAATGACACTTTGCTGGTCAGTCCATCCTTCATGAATGATTTTCGCTACTTTTTAAGGGATGAAGAAGAGAAAAAAAAATCTCACTCGGATGGTACAGATGAAAAGGATAATGGGAACCAGACAAAGGCTGTCAGTCGAATTGGCAACTCAAACAACCCATTCCTGGACATCCCTCATGACCCAAATGCTGCTGTGTATAAAACTGGATTTCTGGCTCGGAAAATCCATGCAGATATGGATGGAAAGAAAAGTGAGTAATTTTTCAATCCTAATGTGTTATTTTCTTGTTATGTCTTCACAATGACACTTACCAATGAGCCCATGTACTTCTCAAGGTGAATAGTGCTGCTTCATTAGGGAAAATAGCAGCAATAATGGGCAACACAACAATTGGATTATCACATTTTCACTGTTAGGCCGGAATTTACAATGTTCAGTCCCATTTGCAGCAACTCTAATACATGAGTATAAGAAGTAATGTGATACAGCAAAGCAATGTAGGTTTTTTTGTGCTAAAAGAAAATTAATATAGTGGTTTACAGAATAAAAAACAATTTCAAGTGAATTACAGTAGCTGTTCTGCAGTAATTTGATAATTCTCCTTTTCCTTATGTGACACCAGATTGTTCCAAATCTCCCCTCCCCTCTGGGTCTGTCTTTAAAGAAAGGCTGTTCTTTACCTCTATTTGGAAGATTCTGTTCCCTTCGCTGCTTTCCCAGCCTTGGGTCACATATCCAATGAAGGGCAGCAGCTTTTGGAACCAGCCAGCTTTTACTATGCAGTTCCTCCCTGCCCCTTTCTTGTAATTATTCTGCTGCATCTCTTTCTGACTTTAATTCTCTTCCTCCCTTCTTGTCCTACTTCTGTTCGTGATGCACTAATTATCAAGGGCCTCTCATGCACCTGTGTGTATTTTGTTGTTTGGCATCTTCATTTGTTGCTACAGATCTTGGAAAAAGCTGAGGTTAGTCAGAGCATCTGCATTTTCCCCAATCACTGTTGATGATTGCCTACTCAGTTCACATTGTTGGGCTGAATCCCAAAGACAAAGTCTGGCTTTATGATGGCTTTCCAGTAGCAGCCAGTCTCTCCTAGCTGGGCTAAGCTCTCTGGTGTTCACATGTTTCACTAGTCTATTTTAAAAGGCACAATTGGAGTTCAGTATTTTCAAAACGGAAGCTGATAGCTGGACACCTGGATCCAGACAGAGGTGTCAAAATCAAGCTGACTTAATTCTTTGTGATGACTGGATACTCTAAATAGGCTCATCCTTATTAAACATCTTCTTATTCAACCTTAGTAAGTAATTGTATTTAGTTGCCTTTATTAAATTATTTCTTTAATTATAAATACCAGAATTGTTCATCATTCATCACAGTGGACACTGGCATTCTGGAGATAACTCCTTTATGAGTAATGTCATTAGGGCAATTCCTGTACAATTTGAAGGTCTGTCTTTCTCAAAAAAGTTGCATTCTGGCTTTCCAGGCACAAAAAAACCAAAACATTTTCTTTTTGTTTGTTTGTTAGACCATTTTATGTTTCATTTCCTAATGGAGTTTTTGCAGGGCAGAGATTAGCTTGTGTGGGATTTCTAATGAAGTTATGTGCTGGAATGCTCATCTGTATTTTCTTGGGAAGCTGGTTGTTAGGGCTAAAGCACTTAGGCACCTAAAGGAGAAGGATGTAACAGGGGCCAGTGAACTGAGCAAATGCCAATTAGAAGTAAGGCCTGTCATGCAAGATGAGAATGATTGACCTCTGGGACAAGGGACTTGTAAAACCTCTTCATCTTCGATTTCTATCTTCACATCAGAATGGGATGCCTTTCTAAGTGCCATGCTTTAGTTGTATGTGTATTAATTTCAGTACAGCGTCAGTGATATACTATATAGATGCTGGTCAGTGGTGTGTGCTTGGTGGTGAGTGAGCTTAGGTGCAGGCTTCTGGTCTCTGGTGCTGTCACTGTACAGCTTGTGCTAATTCTCTTGCTCTGTCACACCTGAATTTCAGACTGCATCCTTCAGCCTTCATACTGAATTTACTTCCCCCTTCCCCCCACCACCTTGTCTCTAGGAATTTATGGGCTAGGTATGTTGTCTCTGTTATGTTCTTCAACCTCTAAATGACTTTGGCTTTCTTGTGGGATTGGGTATTTTATATATGATTTTGGTTGGCACCCTTCTCCTTTCTCAATGCCAACTTGGGGGTGCAGCAGCAGTAAAGGGGAAGGATGCTATGTGGAGACACTGCTTTCTGTGTAGGATCCCACTGGTTCTGAGCAGTGCCTGCCAGCCTGCTGTGGCATGTAGAAAAACTGTTTCTTCCTGAAAACTGCCATGGTGCAGAGTTCAGATGTAGTTGTGTAGGGGCAGTGTCTGCCTGTCTTCAAAGGCACAAAGACTGGATCCCTGTAGCCTGCTTTCTGCATTGCTGCTGTTCCTTTCTGATCGAGTCCAGGACTGTCATCAGGGTTGTTGTATTACTCTCTCTCAACAGGTATGGGCAGGTACTGTGCTAAGTTGCATTGTCCTTTGAAAAAGGTGGTACGAAGGAGGTTTAACACAGGACTAATGTAGCTCTCCTGTAGCCTAGACGAAGTGTAAAAATGGATTGGAGTTAAATGAGTTTTAATTTGTTTTCTTTCCAGCTCCCCGGGGTAAACGAGGCTGGAAAACCTTTTATGCTGTGCTGAAGGGAACGGTCCTGTACTTGCAGAAGGTAGGGAAAATCACTGTCTTTTGAAAACTAATTAAAGAGGGATAAAGCAGCATGCATCCTCTCCACTCTCTCAGTGCATGTCCAGGCTTCCTTCCCTCTGATGCACAGCATGGCTGATCTCCCTACCCCCACCCTATTTACACACACATTCAAGCATGAATCCTTTCATTGACATCCTCTCACTTTTCACGATTTCAAGTTCAATTCCACTGCCGGCATCCACATGTGTTCCCTGTAAGTTCCAGTGTGTGCCACTGCTGTCTCACATGGCTGAATAAAATAGCCAGCTTCACCAGCAAAGACAGCGTCACCTCTCTGTGTCATACACGCATTCCTCTCGGCTGCTTTTAACTTTGCATTTCATACATATGACTTCCCCTTCTGTAAGGCTGTCCTCCTTCCCCACCTTTTCATAGTATACTTTTCTGCAGTGCCTGCAAGACCAGCTGCAGAACAATTGAACAGCAGCTTGGCCTTGGTGGGAATCTGCAGCTTCTGTTCCTTTGAGAAATTGAAGGATAAAAGGATACTTTTTTCCACAAAGCAAGAAAAGACTGGTTTCTAACAAAATGTGCTTCCTGACAGAAAGATGTCTAAAAAAAACAGTCAGATGAAACCCTTCAAACCTTTTGTTGCAAGCTTAAATATATTATAGTACATTTTTGACTATAGAACATAAAATGCAACATATGAGTGAGAACTTACTTGATTTTGTCAAAATCAAATAAATGGCAGCAGCTAAGTAGGTTGTTAAGGCTTTTTGCCTTCTAATGTAGATTAAATATTCATGGAATAGATACTGCTTGTCCAGACTGCCCTATATTGCAGAGGTGTGCTTTGTTGAAAGCTGTTTTACATTTTCACTCAAAACCTGATAGTTTTTTGACGATCAGGAGTGCAAGTACATACTGCTGTTTCCTCCTCCTCTGCTGTGGCTTTCTGAAGTTGTTGGTTTCATTGGAGCCAACCTGAATAATGTCTTGAGAAGAATGAGTGATTTGGATCATATTATTAGCATGAGGTTTACAAGGTGAATGCTTGGGGTACAGTACCTTTTTGAGGGGGCTGAAATTCTAAAAGAGACAAAACAATACGCAGTCAGGATAGAAGATTTGGGCTGAAACTTGAATGTGATGTGCTCAGAGCCAGTGCAAGAGACTAGAACCAAGTCTGCTGAATACCAAGCCCTTTTGTTGGTAGCAAGTTCAGGTTTTACTAAAATGCCTTCATAGCAGGCTTGTACTTACCCTTTTCTGACCAAAGTGGATTCATCTGCTTCAGTTTCTGATATAAGTAATCTTTAATGTTTACCTGAAAAGACTGCATGGTTCTCTGAGAAATAAAAAGGCTCCTTTTTTGTACTACAATTGATTTGTACAATAAATTAATTAATTTCTTATTTGATATTCAAGGGGAAGAACTGAGAATACTGTCTACTTTAGCACTTTAATTAAATATTTTTAGGAGTATTGCTGACATATTAGTTTAAAATGCTTTCTGTTTAATAAAATGTAGAGATGCTGATGTAGCATGCAATTTTTCTACAGAATGCTGCCCTCCTCCCTGTTACTCTCCATGCTTTCAGAAGCAGGGAGTAATTTCACATATGACTGCATCTTTGCAGAATGAAATGCATTGTTGGAATTCTTGTTCTTATTTGTGTATTTTGCACTTGTCAGAGCACTTGAATTCAGTGATTACGGGGCAGTACTTTTGTCTTGGTTTAATTTTGTTTCCCGGCCAATGCACCAAATTATGTCTTCGTTTGATTTGCCAATTTAAATAAACTCATTTTTCTGTTGTGAGAGGGAACCAGGAGCAAAAAGCAAGGCAGGCCTAAAACCTAAGAAAGTATGAAAAAAAAGAAATTTATTAACTACAAAAACAAAGAGAAGGGAAAAAAATACAAATTCAGAATAAGATTTTTTTTCAGACCACTCCTTCCTTCCCTCTCCCAACCTTCATAACAACGAAACAAACATACAACAAATACTTTGGTCAGTTCCCAATTTAGTCTTTTTCAGTTCACTTTCGGAGAGAGAAGCCTCTTCTTGTTGAAGCTGTAGGGATTTTTTCCACAAGAAGGAAGAAAACAGTCCTCTTGTGGTTTCATTTTTCACGATTTGCATCTGCCCGGGAACCTGCAATCGTGACACTCCTCCCAACTCCACAGCCTTCCCAAAGCTGTAGATGTGGGCCATGTCTGTCTCATGGGGTATTACTTTTAAGAATAAAATGTTCCACAGCAAAGGTTCTCTTCATCTCTTTTCTCTCTGTTCAGGCTTCATCCTCAGAAAACCGAAATCCCCTTGTTTCCTCAGGGCAAAGATTCTCAACACAGGTGCTCTTGAATCAAATCATTTATCAAATGGAACATCTCCAACCCCCCATGTTTTTCTCCATGGTTTATAGGAATATTCAGTACATCAGTTCATCCCTACAATCTTACAAAAGGATTTTCAGCCATCTACAGCATCTTCTCATTCTCCTTTCATCTAAAAAAACTTAGCTC